TCAGCAGCATGGGCCGTGATCGTGGCCTTGGGCTAGGGGCAGGGAGCTGGGCTCAGGTGCGGTGTCAGGGGGTGACCGGCTTGTCCACTGAGCCCCTAAGACAGGGGCGGGGAGAGCTACGGCTCGCAGGCTGGATCCAGCCCGTTGGTTAATTTCATCTGGCCTGTGGCGCCCTCTCTCACAACCTGCTGCAGGGGAAGCCCCAAGCTTCCACGGGCACCTGGCGGGTGAGTGGCCCATGATTGATTTTTTCTGTGGGCCAATGGCCAGTGACAGAGAAAAGGTTCCCCACCCCTGCCCTAAGGGCTGCAGCTGGGAGAAGAGCACTGAGTCCTGCTTTCAGCCACCCTTGGGCGTGATCAGCAGCTGCTGGGGCTGATGTAGTGCAAAGCCCAGGAGCAAACAGGCTAAGCTGCTTCACGCTGGGGTTTGTGCCAGTGCAGCTTCCCCTGATGCCAGTCCAAATCCACCCCTTCCTTAATAACACAGCTTCCAGCCGGGAGGGAGCAGGCCCCTGCCCAGAACGGCTGCTCCCTCTGCCTACGCAGCACCCGTCTCCCTCCCCACAAGAGCTGCCCTCGCCTGGAGGCCCGAGCTAGCCCCGCCCAGACCTGTTGAGCTCTCAGATGCGGACGGAGTTCCTGGTGGCAGCGTAGAGCATGGTGCCGGCAGGGTTGAGCGTGATCTGGTTGATCTGGTGCTCGCCCTGCACGCTGGCAATGGTGCAGGTCGTGGTCCCAGCACAGGATCCCCGGAGATCACCTGACCCAAAGAGCTAAGCCAAAGAGACAGAAACCGGTGAGCCTCAAGGCAGAGACCCTCGGGGGAGGGAGGGGGCAATTTACACAGTGTGGAATGGAAGATCTAGCCCGTTGTGGACTGATTAGAAGGCTGGAGAGCGTCTGCCCCGAGCCATCTAGAGGGTGAAGCACTCCACTTCCTGGCCACATGCAGTGCCAGTGGTGCCAGGATGGGACCCCCCATTCAGCCCCATGTCCCCTCAAGCCGGGAGCAACGGCACAGCAAGGGTGACCCAGGCAGCAGCTTTCGGGGGGCTGAAAGGGAGGTGCTTTCGGGGGACCCCAAGGGAGGTGCCTTGCCGAGCAGCCAGCCAGACCCATACCAGCAGGCGTGCCAGCTCCACGCCCAGGGAGGAGTGACAGAAACCCCACCCCTGGCCTGGAGTTGATGTTGACAGGCAGCCCAGGCATGCTCCCGCAAATCAGATTTTAGATCTGGGGAGGGACTGCAGGCAAAGAGACGTCTCAGTCTGTGGCTGGGCACCACAGAGAGGGGCTGATTTGCTGGGGTCCGGAAACGGTGCTGGCAGCTGCAGATGGGTCATTACCCATCCCTGATCAAAGCAATCATAGGGTGCCCCCTGAAACAGATGAGAGGAGCAACTTCCCTGAGAGCAGAGCACCAAGCCACGAAGCCTCCGCGAGCCAGGCCAGGCTAGAGCGACCAGCATTGCAGCATTCCTAGACTCAGCCCTGCAGACCGGCCCGGCCGCCTGGCCTTTGCAATGCTGCCCTGAGTGCAGGACGCTGGCAGGGCAGCGCGTCGAGCTTGGCCAGGCCCACAGGGCAGCCTCGGTGCGTCAGGTACTTACGTGAGGGTGCGGACGCACTTGGCTGAGTCCCGGATGTCCCACACCTTGATGTAGGAGGTGGAGACAGTGAAGACCAACCCTGAGTGGCTGCAGTACTTGATGGA